TAGTCATCAAAGGATAATAACATTTGAAAAATTTACAAGGGCATCGATCATATCTTGCCGCCATTTCATTGTCTATTTGCGATATTACTGAAATACAAAGAAATTTCAGGAAACTAAAGAAGACAGCAAAAAAGATGGCAACGTCGTTTTAATTCTTCTCAATGTAGTCATACACTCATAGGTCATAACCTCAGTACACATTAAACCTTCAATCTCATTCCAAATATACGGTAAAAAACAAGATATGGTACAACATAGTTAAAAAATGATAAAAGCCCAAGTAAAATTGAAGAGCAGAAAATACAAAAGAAGGGACTGATTTGCACATATTAACTTGTTATGGCAATGCCTTTTAATTTTCCTTCATCACCATAACCATCATCAATATCAATTTTTTTGGGTGTTAACTCAGATAACAAAGCCTTTGGTGTGGTAGCGACATTCTCACCAAGCAATACTGCCACCACCTCTTTCATGTTAGGCCTACGAAGCGGATCAGGGTGACAACAAGTTAGTCCAATTTTCAACACTGCCTCCATTTCTTCCACCTCAAACTGCCCCGTAATTCTCTTATCAGCAGCCTCAACTAATTTTCCTTCTGCATACTTTTTCCTCACCCAATCAAGTAAAACTTCTTCATCCTCTGTCTCCGCAGAAGTATCTATCGGCTTCCGCCCACATGCCACCTCCAGCACTACCACCCCAAAGCTATAAACGTCACTAGCTGCAGTTGGTGAAGCCATCGTAACTACCTCAGGTGCCAAGTACCCAAAGGTACCGACCACACGAGTTGTATTAGGCGCTTCACCATGTGTATACAACTTTGCTAACCCAAAATCGCCCAATCTAGCTCTCATTTCACTATCCAACAAAACATTGCTTGCCTTAATGTCTCTGTGAATTACCACCTGTTCCCAACCATGATGCAAATAATTTAACCCCTCAGCAACATCAGCCAAAACCCTCCTCCTCCCTTCCCATCCCATTAGTGTCTTTGGGTTATCAAATACCCACTTATTCAAACTCCCATTAGGCATATAATCATACACTAGCATCAACACATTCCCCTTCCTACACCACCCTCTCATTGACACTAAATTCTTATGCTGAAGCCTTCCCATACTCGAAATCTCAGCCATGAACTCTTTCAACCCTTGTTTAGAGTCATGGTTCACAGATTTCACCGCGACTTCCATGTTATTCTCCAGGATTCCCTTATACACTTTCCCAAACCCGCCTGATCCAAGAAGCTTATCCTTGGCAAATCCATCAGTTGCCTGGTGCAATTCCTGGTATGAAAATCTATGAGGCCAATACTCAAGCTCCCAATCCTCAATCTCATCATCATCTTCCCTGCTCCTTTTCCAACAAAACCAATAAAATCCACCCAACCCAACTCCCAAAACCACCACACAAGCAATCACAATCCCTGCAATAGCTCCACCAGACAACCTAGACGATGAATTCTCCAACAGAAAAACAGGCAAATTCGTCGTGTTAACATCCCTCGCTACTCCAGTATCACTAAAACTCCAAGCTAAAACCCTCTGCGCCTCAACCCAAGTAGTCTTGGATGCCGAAAACCCAACAAACATTTCATCAGACAGGTAGTCTGCAATCACAGGATCCCTGAAATTAATCAAAGGCCTGACCGGTCGTGGCACCCCAACCGGGGCTAGAGTCACATTTATCTCATTCTTTGGTCCATCAAACTCAATCCAGGCCCTGATATTCTCCCCATTTCGCATACGAAAAGGAACAAAACCTGCATTCCTATCAAAATATGCAGCAGGTTGAGACACTCTCGACTCGATACTATTCAGATCAATCCCCACGTGATTATCATCTCGATCGTTGAACTCCGTGTTCCTCCCAGTGTCAAATTCTACAACGATCAGAGGACCAGGTGGGGCGTTGAGGGCAGTAGAGAAAAGCCCAAAATACTGCCCGGCAAGCGCGTTGGGCGGAGAAGTTGAACCGGAAAGAACGAAGGCCAGCCCGAATCCCGGGCTGGTGGAGATTTCCGGGAGGATGGAGAAGATGAACTGGGTGGAGAATGAGGTGGAAATGGTGGAGTTGGGAGTTTTGGTAAAGTTGAAAGGGATGCGAGTAGGATAAAAGGCGCGGCCGAGGGAGAACTGGTTGGAGTCATTGGTGAGGCGGATGACCGGTGGTACGAGGCGGGCGTCGTCGGTGAGGTTGAGGAGGGGGACGGCTGTGGGCGAAAAGGAATTGTAGAGAAAGTCAAGGGCATAAATGGAAGGACAGATTGCCTGGTGAGTGAAGATGAGGATGGTAAGAAATAGTGGCGTTGGCTGTAGTGGGAGCATTTTGGTCATTGGGGTGTTTTGTGGCTTTGATAGCACTTGGGGCTAGTAGGGATTAGGAATCAAGCATCAAATGTAATGGCGGCCATATTGAATTTTCATCACAAATTTGGGATTTTCTTAGTCATATTTGTTTAAAAATTTTGTTGTGATAATCTTGATTTGAACTTTTCTTTTTAGGTAGTTGAGAGTGATTGAAAAAGTAGCAACATGAATTGTTAAACGCTAGAGGGTGAAGGACCCATTTTTCAATCATGTTTGAAAATTTCACTTTATATAGGAAATGTAAAAGGTGTTACTAAACTGGTCGCAAAACTTCAAGTAAACTAGTAGCTACATAATTAAGGTTGAAAGATGAATTAAGACACCTGATGCTTGAATCAAGTTTGATTGTGGATGCAAACTCGTTTGAATTTGATTTAGCAACTAATCAAACCAAAAGTATAAGTAACATTTTGAGTTTATAAATTGGTGAAATTGAGTTAGACTTTCTGTCGAAAGCATGATACTAAAATTTACTTACTTAAGTTTGATTTGAACTTGACATTATTAAAGCTCATTTCGGTTCGACGCAATAGATAAACAAATCAAATTTAAATCCAAATTAAAACTCTTTAAAATAGTCAAACAACATTAAACATTTTATAAGAAGTATGGCTTGATCAACCTTTTCACACCCCACGAGTAATTCTAAAAGTGAACGACCATTTCTAGTAGCTGAAGGCGTAAGTAATCAAAGTCAACTAAATCAACTAATGATGCCGAGTGTATGGACTTGTACAAAACTTGAACTCGAGATGACCAAAAAGTCAAAACGTACTTGCATGGTACGATACATTCTTTCCCCATAGAAGAGGAAAATAGTCATAATCATGCAGGATACTCCTAATAAAATATCTAATGGTTGCAAGGATAAAATAATGTATTGTTTGAAAGTAGTTTTTGGCATTTAGTATAAAACAGAAATATATTTGCAATTTCTAAAACAACTTTTTTTAAGGTTGCTTGAGCAACATAGTAAGAGTGATTTTAAAATAAAAGGACCTGCAGCATGAATCTTCTTTGTGAAAAAATAGACCTCCTAATAATGTTAACATATTTCGTAATGATATTTAGGTGACTGCAGAATATTACCTCCATATTGAGAGATATTTTCGGTTTTTCTTTTTTTTTTTTTCCCTTTAAGTGTAAACGTAAAATCAAATATGACCTACTCAACTCTTTCAAGTAATCAAATTGTGACCCGGCTGGTACTAATTAATATGGACTTTCTAGAGACATGGTGGGGATTACTTGGAATGTTGACCTAAAATTATTTACTTTTTGGCTTTCTTTCAAGGAGAAATAGGCCATTTTGATACACGTAAGTTTCAAGTCAATTTTGATATAATAAACACTATACTAAGTTACTAACCCCTTTTTTTGTTCGAAACATCAATTAAATTTAGTTTTTCTTGATCTGTTGTATGCATAGTGGTTAAATTTATCATTTCGACAAAAAGGCTCACGCCTCAATATTCATGTAATAGTCACTAAACAAATAACTATATAAACACACATGTATATATTTATGAACCTCAAACCACTTTGCATATATTAAATTTGATATGACTTCAAAGAAATATAAAACCCTTTTATAGAAAATTTAAATTTTTTTTGTAACCACATTTTTAATCATTTTTTTGCCTCGCATACATCAAATCGTTATAATATGATTTTGTTTCTTACAAAAAATCTGGAAAATAGCAATCCGAACGGACCTGAACCTATTTATGCATCACTCACTGCTAGATCAAAGGAGTTAGTGAATATACAGACCTAACTAGATCAAAGGAGTGCTATGACACAACCCTTAGATTTTTTTCGCTGCATGTGAGGTTTGAACCCTTACCTATAGCCCTAGGAGAGCCATTGGCCCGGTAGCCACTGAGCCATTGGCCCAGTGGTTGGTTGGATATATATACATATCTACCAACTAGATAAGAGAACAACTCAAGTTCTCCATTGATGCCAAGTGTCAAGGTCTCATTTGAGGAAACAAATTTCATTTCTTTATTTTGGACATTAATGAGAGAGAAATGTCTATTTGAGCCTTGGTATTGAAGTTCAAAGGGCTAATAGTTCCTCACTATTTAGGGGCTAATTGGTAAAAATAGTTGAATTATAATCATTTGATTCTTTTGTTTGGTTTTTAATTGGTGAGAAAGGTCAATTGAATCCTTTTATGAAAAATAGCTTTTTAAATAGTTTTTAACTATTTAGGGTTATTTTTGTCCATTTAAAATTATTCCTTTTATATTTCTTTGGTCAAATGTAAATAGTTGTAGACTATTTGGGTGTCCTTTTATCACATGGGGTCCTAATTAAATATTCCAAATGTAAAAGCCGTTAGAACTAATATGCCAGCCAAAGTCTTCCAAAGAAAGATTACTTCTCCACATCTTTGTTCCCTGCATTATAGAGCTATGACGAAGCACGTGACTTCAGTCTTTTCTCGTTCCAAACTGTGGGCCATTTTTGTACTCAAAAACAGTGAGCAAAGGAAAAGGTTTTGGCCCCTTTCTTTGGTTTGACAGGAACCAACGAAGTCAAATAAATGGTCTTATTAGTCACTGAAGTTTTTCTTCATTTAGGCAGAGTTTCCTTCCTCTTTCTTTGCGTCGCGTAGCCTCTTCCTTTTCGCCGATTAGTAGCCAGCTATATGCGCCTGCAAAATGTTCAGTTTTCAGCCAATTCCTTCAACAACTTTGTCCTTCCTTTTGATTGCAACCCACAAATTCCTCCGCACGCACGTGAATTTTTGCTTTCCCTCAAAAATTAGGTCACTGAAATTTCTTTCCCCAAAATCTGCGAGCCTGCAAAATTTTCAGTTTTCTGCCGATTGTTCCAGCAACTAATTGTACTTCCTTTCGATTCACTTCCAAAAAATCCTCCTTATCCACGTGAATTCTTCTTTTCCCTCAAAAACAGCTCATTTTAGGTATGGCTACTGTACCGAGTTATCATCCATGGTACAACTTTCAGAACTTATTATTTCCAGCCTTATATATACATTTGTTTCCCACTTTTGTCGGTATTCAGAAGAGGAGCAAACAAAATCTAGGTATGTTTCTATTTTCTCTCTTCTTATTTTTGAGTTGCAATTTTTTTACTTTGAATGTCCTTCCCTCCTGTTTATCATTGGCTTCCGTTAATTAGACACTGTCATGTGTTTCATATTATACATAAAAGAATGATTATGATGTAATTTATCGATTAACTTATGTTTATTTTTTTTTCTCTGTTTTTATTGATTTCAAATATTGCCCGACTTTTGCCAACATTTAGCCGAGCAAAGAAAATATAGGTATGTTTCTATTTTCTCTCCTTCCATTTTGAACTGCAATTTTTTTGTTTCATTGTTGTTGCATCTGTCTATTGCCTTCCATTAATTAACGACCTCCATGTGTTTCATGTTATGCTATGATGGTTATTTTTCGGATTAGCTTATGTTTATTTTTGCCTCTTTTTTAATTTCAAATGCTGCATGATGTTGTTACCTGTTTATGTATTGAAAAATTACATAATTTAGTGTTATTGTAGTTTGGGTTATTAAGGTAGTCATTCTATATATATTAGTTAGTTTTAGCTATTCTAGGATGCTTTGATTTTGTCATTGTTATGCGCTTTTCGCTTAGTATCTTACTTCCTTTATAGTATTTATAGTAAAATTAGATTTTGATATTTTGTGTTTCATAATGAAGAAAAAAAAGAAAATTTAGTTCAAGTTTTAGACTGATAGATGAGATATTTGATGAGGCTTTTGATCTAAGCATGTTAGAAAGAAGCAAAAAGAAAAACTTAAATATGCTGACTGAGCATATGAAGTTTACTGTCGATTCTTCTGTTTCTCAGTCATATTCTCCTTTTGTAATCAACAATGAGAATGACATTTGTGAAAATCACTTTGTTGAAACATGTGTTTCACAAAATCACATCGATAGGAATCTAATTCTGCCAACTAATTGCAGAGGTAAAAATGTTTGCTTCCCTCCAGAAAATGCTGGAGGAATTCATTATACCTCTGATTCTACTGACAATCATTATTTGTTTGCAATGAATTCATCTTTAATCAATCTGTCTGATGTTCAGCCTGCTGGTTCATCACAAGTGAACTGCAATGAGCAATCATTTGTTATAGGAAGTCAGTTTTAGAGTGAGCAAGTCACAAATGTTAAAGGGAGAAATGGTTATTCTGAAATACCAAATCTAGACATGCAACTAACTAATTATACTCCTCCCCTCTTTGTGAATAAGCATATACCTATAATAGGTAGTACTCCAGTTATATCTTATAATAACAGACCTCTTGAATATTTTGACATATATGCTGGAGAGGTGATAAATAAGAAAGAATATAGAAGACATGCCTACTTTAGATGGAAAAAGAAAAGATTCAAAGCAAAGTCTAGATCAATTGCTTCTACAAATATAATTGAAAAGCAAACAAGCACCACAATTGTTAATCATTGTTCCTCAGTTGTTGATGTTCAGCATAGTTCTCAATGTCGTTCGAAGCATTGAAGATCATCTCTGAAAAAAACTCAGCCAGGTCTAGAGTTAATACTTTTTAAGTTTTCTAACATGTTTTTCTCCACTGCCATTAAAATCAATTGAATGGTTTGATTACTAAATGCTGTAAAATAATTGTATTTTAGGAAGAGGGTGCAAAACAGGAAGAGCTTTATTAGATATAATTCCTAACAAAGCTGATATCCTACCAACCCAACTAGATTGTCCTCATTGTGGAGCGAAGAAGTTTTTTTCTGAGACAGCATATTTTTGTTGTCAAGATGGTGAAGTTGTTTTAGTTCAAAACAAAATTTCAGATATTTTTAAAGAGCTATTGACTTCATCTTCACAAGAGGCACAATCTTTTAGAACTCTTATTAGAACGTATGATAATAATTTTGGATTCACTTCCTTTGGTGTTAAAACTGATCTGACTCTCTCAAAAAGGAATAAAGGAATTTACACTTTTAGAATTCAAGGACAAATATATCATTTTCGGAATGATTTCAATTCAAGCAATGGTTATAGTAATAATTTACAGTTATATTTCAATGATTTTGAAATTGAAGTAAGCAATCGATTAGCAGCTTGTCCTAGACTATCTGAAAGTGTAATTAGAAAAATTATGCAAGTTCTTGAGTCTAATCCATATGCAAAATTTTTTAGAAATTTGAGAGAGGTACCTAATTTAGATAACTACTACATTGTGTTAAAAACTCTGCCCGATGTTGATCAAAGAGTTTATAATAGACCAACAACTTCACAAGTTGCTGGTTTGTGGGTTGAGGGGCAAGAAAATGGAGAAACCGGCAGGCGTGATATTAGAGTTCATACCCATAGTGGTGCTTCAAAAAATATACAGTACTATTATGGATGTTATGATCCACTCTAATATCCAATACTTTTTCCTTTTGGTGATCTTGGCTGGCACCAAAGAATACCAAAGAAAGGAGTAAAAGTATATGGAAGAAAGAGGAAAAAAAAGTAACCTGTAGCAGATTTGATTTCCCCTGCAAATGCTGCTACAGCAGAACAATTAATCCAAAATGAAGAACATGGTTAGTACAATAACTATATACCATGATCTTTCATTTTACATATTTAATATTTATGATTGGACATTTAATGATGTACTATTATTATTTGCACAGCAATGGAAAGCATACATGAAGATCCAAATTTCGTATCCCTTCGAGAATATTATTGTTATAAACTTCAGATTAGGGACAATGATGAATCTTCGTTATTACATTTTGCTCGACTTCTACAACAATATATTGTTGATCAATATGTGAAGCTCGAGACACAAAGACTCGACTTCTATAGATTACAACAAGAGGAAATTAGGAGAGAGTTCTTGAAAGGCATAATAGATGCTTTAGGATCAGGTGAGAGTCAAGCATGTAATGTTGGCCAGCGTATCATATTACCACCATCCTTTATTGGAGGACTAAGAAATATGAAACGTAAATACATGGACGCAATGAGATTAGTACAAAAGTATGGTAAACCAGATATATTTCTGACCATGACTTGCAATCCTAATGGCCAGAAATAAAAGAACACTTAATAGACAAAGAAGAGGCACAAAACAGACCAGATTTGCTTGCTAGAGTATTTCATGCTAAGTTAGAGCAGCTTAAAGATGAACTTTTGAAAAAATGCATCTTTGGTGAAGTGGCAGATTACACTTATGCCATTGAATATAAAAAACGTGGACTACCACATGAACATTTCTTACTAATTTTAAAGTCAAAATTCAAGATGTATACCCCTCAAGAATATGATAAAATTGTCTGTGCTGGGATACCAAATAAAGAGGAAAATGAACATCTATATAATTTGGTCATTAAACATATGCTTCACGGACCATGTGGTTCACTTGATCCAACAAGTGTATGCATGAGAAAAAATGGAACTTGCAAGAGTAATTTTCCTAAAAATTTCTGTGAGGAAACTATTCAAACTCTGAATGCATATCCTGAATATCGAAGGAGAGATGATGGAGTTCAAATTAAGATTAAATCAGTCTTTTAGATAATAGATGGGTTGTACCATACAATCCATATCTTTTGGCTAAATTTGATTGCCATCTTAATGTTGAAATATGCTCTACAATTAAGACAGTCAAGTACATTTACAAGTATATCTATAAAGGTCATGATAGAACTAACTTCTGTGTAGTAAATAATAAATCTGATTCAGAAATTGATGAAATTAAACAATATGTATCAGCTAGGTGGGTTTCTCCACCTGAAGCAGCCTGGAGAATTTTTAGATTTTGTATGAGTGAAATAAAGCCACATATTATTCATTTACAATTACATTTGGAAAATTATCAGCCAATGAGTTTAAAAAAAAAAGCTAATCTTCAAAATGTTGTCAATAACTATCATTTGAAAAAAACAATGCTCACTGATTTTTTTTACATGAATAGGACAGATAAAGTAGCTCAGGATCTAAATTGTACTTATGTAGAGTTTCCTGATCATTTTGTCTGGTTACCTAATCAAAAATACTAGAAATTGAGAGAAAGAGGTGAATCAATAGGCCGAATAATGACTGCTCTTTCTTTTGAAGAAGAACGATACTACTTGAGATTACTCTTATCAAAGGTTCGATGTCCAACTTCATTTGATGACTTAAGAACCTTTAATGGAGTTCAAGTAGAAACGTTCCAAGAAGCAGCATTAATTCGAGGCTTGTTACAAAATGATAACAGCCAAGAAATCTGTTTACAAGATGCCTCACTTTTTCATATGTCCTACGAAATGAGGCGACTTTTTGCAATACTTTTGGTTTATTCTTGCCCTAATGATCCAAAGGCATTGTGGCAAATTTTTGAATCTTCTATGTCAGAAGATTTTGCCAAATGTTCAGCAATGACATCTGCACAAGTGAAAAGAAATGTCTTGCAACAAATTGATGGATTTTTGCAATCCATGGGAAAAAGTATATATTCATATAATTTGATTCCTACTGGATTCTCTTATGAAAATATAGAGAATGAAACTCGAGAATTAAGAGCAGAAAGAAACATTGTCATTTCAGAAACTGACTTAAATTCAATTCAGCTACTCAATGAAAAACAGAAAATAGCATTTGTAGTCATATCTGAGAGAATTTACTCAAATAGACCTGGTGTTTTTTTCATTGACGGTCCAGGTGGTACTGGAAAAACATTTCTGTATAGAGATTTGTTAGCTGATGTTAGATCTAAAGGTTATCTTGCTCTTGCTACAGCTACATCAGGAATTGCAGCTTCCATTTTACCAGGTGGAAGGACTACTGCACATTCCAGATTTAAAATTCCAATAGATATCTTTGATGGTGCAACATGTCGGGTAAGTAAACAAACTTCTTTAGCTGCAATGATCAAGGAAGCAAAGCTTATAATCTGGGATGAAGCACCAATGTCTAAAAAGGCAGCAATTGAAGCTTTAGATGATCTCTTAAGAGATTTAATGAATTCAGAAGAAATATTTGGGGGAAAGGTAGTTGTACTTGGTGGAGATTTTAGACAAACATTACCAGTTGTTAGAAAAGGAACAAAAGCTGAAATGATAAATGCATGTTTGATAAATTCTCCATTATGGCACAAATTAGAGAAATTGCAATTAACAGAGAACATGAGAGCAAAATTAGATCCTTTATTCACGCAGTTTCTCTTAAAAATTGGAGATGGAACACAGGAAACAGATGAGAATGACATAGTAAAACTTCCATTTTCAATTGTAGTTAACTATAATAATGAGACTGATGCAATTGAAAAGCTAATCAATATTGTGTATCCTGAATTTAAAGATCCTTCAAAGAAACTGCATTGCTCACAAAATAGAGCAATTCTAACTACAAAGAATAACTTTGTAGATGAAATAAATGATGAATTGATCAAAAAATTTCCAGGAGATTTGGCTGAGTACCTAAGCTATGATGAAACACTGAATGAAAATCATCAATCTGAATACATTGATCTTCTGAACACTCTTACGCCTAGCAATTTACCTTCACATAGGTTACTGTTAAAACTCAATGCCCCAATAATTCTTTTAAAAAATCTCGATCCTGTTGAAGGATTATGCAATGAAACTAGACTGATAATAAAGAGTTTGAGCAAGAATGTTATTTGTGCTAAAATTGCAGTTGGTGATTTTTGTGGCAAAGAAATTTTTATACATAGAATTTCCATGCAGCCACCAAGTGATGAACAATATCCAGTTCCATATAAGAGAACACAATTTTCAATTCGTTTGTGCTTTGCGATGACAATAAATAAAGCACAAGGCCAAACTTTAGATTTTGTTGGTATATATTTGAAAGAACCTGTGTTTTCACATGGCCAATTATATGTTGCACTTTCAAGAGCCAAAACAGCTTCGGCTGTAAAAGTCCTTATCAGGCCAACTTATTTTGATGAATCATGCACTGATCATACTAAAAATATAGTATATAAAGAAATTCTTAAAACTTCCCAGATTACATTATCAGGTTTTAACATTCATGGCCTTTTTTGTTTAGAAATTTATTATTTTGTTTAATTGACTCTGATTTCTCTACCAATATAGGTCATCATGCCTAGACATATATCTTCAGTGCTAGACATTCAGAAAGGAGCAGAAAAGTGGACTGTTCTCGCACAAGTTATTCACAGAGGGCACAATCAACTGACTCGTGAAGTTCCACCGAGGCGAATTATGCGCTTTCTACTCACAGATACTGAGGTATGCAAATGATTTTCTATTTCTCAGCTCATTAAATTCATCTATGAGAATATTTCAGATTTTGTATAAGTACATTTCATGATTTGTCTGTTCATTACATTTGCTTAAGGAAAAATCTTTAGTATTCATGTAACTGTATACATACTACAATATCAGAACTATAGTTTCATTGCAACTGAATACTCACCTAACTATTAAAGTAGTCATATCTATAATTTTAATTTTTGTGTGATAAATATGATATTAACCATTAACATGACAGTTATGTTTTAACTCATAATATATATAAAACTAACTTTTTCTAATCCTAATCAGGGAACAAAAGTTTCTGTTGTGACTTATGAACAACACATCAAGATCTTCAGCAAATTTCTGCAGCCTTATCAAAGATATTATGTTTCTAATGCAATTGTGGCTCCTGCTGACCCAACATACAGAGTTGGGAGTTATGAAAGCTCCTGGATTTTGAACTACAAGACTTTGATTGAAAATTATGCTGAACCTGTGCCACCTATGTTGCCTTGCGTATTTGAGCTGACAAACTTCTCTGATCTGCACAAATATGCTGATTCAGATAACCTTTGCAGTAATTTTTCTTACATTATTTTTTAATTTACTTGACAGTCATTTGACATTTTATTGATTTCTTACATTCATATCAACACTTTTGTTTCAGATATTAGAGGCTTTGTCATTCACGCATTCCCAGTAAAATAGGCAGATTCAGATTGTACTTCTAGAGACATTATAATAGTGAATGAAGAGTAATCAAACCTGAATACTATCATTTTATTAAGTCATTTTAGATTAATGGCAGTAGTTACAATTTGTTTGTTATACCTGACAGGAAGAAACTCATGCTTATGACTCTCTGGAATGAATTTGAACATGATGAAGGGAGCAAAATAGCAGACATGATTAGCACTGCCCCTCTAATCATAGCTCTCCGTGTTAAAGTGACCACATTCAATAGTAAAATTTTCACTATGCATTATGATTTCTCTATTGTTTGGCTTCTTAGTACTTTATGTTATAATTACTAAACCATTTCATCATTTTTACAGTTTTGTCATTCACTACAAGGTATTCATCTGGAATTCTGATTAGTCCTCCACTCCCAGATGACCTCTCTTTCAAGCAATGGTAAGTCTACTTTTTTTAAAATTTTTTACCTTAAAATCAATTAAATTTACTGGTACATTTTTAATTTGTGTTCTAAACATAATCATTCAGGTTTACTTTGAACAAGGAAGAAATCCAAAATTTGCTTAATGCTAAAACATACAGTGATGCTAACTATTTACTTCCCCCTCCAAATGAAGAGGATATCAAAGCAATCAGCACTTTTCAAGCATCATTTCCAATTGTAAGAGCTATTTGTTATTTTAAAATTCTGCTTAAATATAACTTTTTTGTCTCTAATTGACATTCAAATACCATTCTTGGTTGCTTGACTCAGCAAAAGGCAACTTGGGTGCAAGGAACTGTCAAACTTGCATATGGATTCACCAAATATTGGACTACTGCTTGTGTGAATTGTCACAAAATTGTGAATGTGAATGTTGACATTGACTAGATCATTCATTGTCCTTCATGCAAACAGCAAAGTGAAGTTAAACTGAGGTTAGACCATAAACTTATGCTTCTAAATTAAACATTCTTCGCATTTATTACCATATATTAATCTTAATTCCTTCACTTGACTAAAGGGCTCGCATTCCAATTATAATAATTGATCCTTCGAGCTCAATACATTGCATTATATCTGGAGAAGATGTTGAAAAAATGATTGAGTTCACTCCACTACAACTTAAGCAAGCACAGGAAGATCTAAGTACAAATTTCATGTCTTATATTCAGCCATAAATACAAATATACATAGACAAGAATTCACAGAACCTAACTTAAAAATTTTTCTGCTGTAGGGCTTTGGAATAGATACTGAACTTAATGATGCTTTGAAAAAATACACAGTTGTCTGTTTTCTGAAATCATATGAGACTCCCTTCCAAGGTCAACTGCAGAGAAAGAATACTGTCATCAAGGCTTACACTGCAGCTGAACTATCGCACCATCCCCTTCCACTGGCACTTCCAGAAAACACTCAAGTTTCTTCTGCACTTGGCAGTTCATCAGCAAGGCATCCAGAAAAATCATCAAAGGATCAGATGTTCACTCCAACGACAAAGTTGGTACTTGAAGAAATTGCTGGAGCCAGTTCTTACAAAGAAGGGCAGACGTCTACAACCAGTGGAGCAAAAAGAAGCTTTGACTTTCCAGAATATTTACCAGCAGACACACTTCCTGAACATGCAACAAAGACTGCTGAACAGTTTGCCAAAGAACCTGCAAAATCATATAGCCCACCTGGCAATATGAAGGATAGTCCAGCAAAGAAAGCTAAAGCAAAGGAAGACTGATATGGTCTAATTCTGTACTTTTGTTATATCTTTTGTTCATTGCCTTGATGACTGTCTTGATTGCTTAGACAATGCCTTTTGAATTATATTATGATCCATTATTCTTTTGACTTAAAAAGTAATGGATCCTAATATATCTATGAATGGTTTAACCATCAATGTTGTAATTCAATAGGCAATGAAGCTTATTTAAACCCCCTAATATGTAACTGTGGCTTGAACTGAAGTGTGTGTTCTGCTAAGACATGAATGATTGAGTTTATGTAATCTATGGTTGTGATTTGCATATTCATTATTTACCTCTTCATTTTTCAGTTGGTCATATAGATAAATGGTCTCGATTGCCCAGCTATGATTGAGTTGTTGTGATAAATATGATATTAGTTGATCATATTAGTGGGTAGGCCGCTGCATAGCACGGCCAGAACCATGCTAGTATGTATATTTTGCTGTTCTTGCATTTTGTTGCAATTGTTTGGTACAATGGTCATGCAAGATTGTCGACCTCTGCCCGCTTGGTATGGACAAAGACTTGAACCAGATATGGACCTCTGCCCGCTTGCAATTGTTTGGTAAATTTGATGTAGAGAATGCCAAATGCTGGTTGTCAAATTTCAAGTTAGCCCACAAAAGAGGATTCATTTCACTTGGTGCTTCCATCGAAGCCCAATCGTGGACGCTCCCTCTGGTTTAATGGAACCTCAAGGCTAGGAATGACAACGGGCAGAATGCTTTTTGCCCAAACATTCCTCTAGCCCCCGCCCCGTACCCCGAACCCCACACCCATTCCTCCTGCCTTGCCTCCACCCAACCTTGCTTCTAATAGAAATTTGTCCTATAATGAAATTTCAATCAATAGTTAGTTATTTTAAATATCAACGTATTACTAAGTTATTGTTGATACACAATTCATTATAATTTCACAAAACTTAACTTATAAAAATAAATAAACAGATACTATTTGAATACAATTCAACATAACGAAACAAATATAACTCAAGTAGTTAAAAATACAAGTGTAATTAGTCGTGAATTATGAATTAGGGAAAAGGTGAAGAGCTGAAGAGGAGTGAAATTAGGGTTAGTTGTGAATTGTGAAATATTTAGTGTAAAAGAATAAAGTGTAATTAATAATTTAGTATAAATGTATTAGTAAAACTAGTCGGTATTTTGTATTAGGATAAATAATTAATTATTAGTATAACTAATGATTTTAATTGTATTACATATACATAATCTGATACTTATAACTAATAATATTATATATAACTAATAATTAATTATTATAACTAATAATATTAAATATATTAAATATACATAATTATAATTTGTATTTATTTTTTTGGCAAGTAACAGTTTTAATAATGAGATAAAATGATCCCTTGCCCTATCCCATCAACACCCTGTAGAGGCACCCGTCTCAATTGCCATCCCCACTCAAGGCCTAAAACATTGTCTAAACATCGAGTGCAGCCCTTCAATTTTGGTTTAAAATGTTCATACCATTTTCTTTAATTTTTTTATATGACTAACATTTAAATTACTATCCAAACTTTTTTTTGACAATTTGAATACCAGCAATTGAATTTCAGCCAAATAATTAATACTTTAATAATATTCAAATTTTAAATGGGCTCTTTATTTTAGATTAGTGAAACATTTTGTGATGTGTAATGAACAAGATAGAGGTTATTGATAAATTAAATTAATGTGTTTCTAAGGTTACTATCGCTAATCACATGGCATTTGATAATATAAATTTGGATTTTTCTAACACCAAATCCTTATAAATTTCTACCATTTATGTTTTGCTATTTTTAACCCCACATAAAATTCTTTATTTTTATTCAAAATTATTCCTAATTTTGAGGCATTAACTAATTGTACCTTCATCTTTAGCAATACACACATGCGTTAGATGTAAAAATAAAATGTAAATTTAATTTTTTAAATTTACTTTTTGACAAATGAAGTGTATATTCAATTTTCATGAATTAGTTTTCAAAAATAATTTAGTTAATTTTTATGAACTAGGATGTGATCAAAATTTTGTACATGGGAATTCTACTAGCACTACATACATATTGACCAAAGATGATTTTTACATTGGTCAAACAAAATTGTCCCAACAAATAGTGACATGGAGGGTCTGTTTGGTTGGAAGTAAAATGTTTTCCTTGGGAAAATATTTTCCGTGGAAGTAATTTTCCATGAAAATCATTTCTCTTTCATCATTTTCAGGTGTTTGGTTAATTTATTGAAAATATTTTCTTACTTCATTTTTCTGGTGTTTGTTTAACTTTTGAAATATTTTCACTTTTATCTCTATCTTTACTTTCTATACATTATAACTACATACTTCTTCCCATGCAAAATAAGAAAATTTATCTCATTGTTTAACTTTAAAAAATCTTGGAGAAATGTATAAATGAATAAAAAATATCTCCTTAAGCAATAAACAAATTGCTGGCCATTTAGTGGCAAATATCAATCACATGTAATGCTTATTGTGACATATATCTTGCACTCTCACTGCTGAAAGTTTCTCTAGAAAAGAATGTCCCTATTATACATAATTAATTACTAGCATAGGATGAGCAGGATGAGATTTTTTTTTTTTTTTGAATATACTAGGGGGAGGGTTGGGTGGTACGGGGGAGGGAGTGTAAGGAAGAGATTTTAGGTTCGAGTCCTCCTGTTTACACTAAAAAAAAAAAAAAGAACATACTATAAAATGTTTTCAGTAAGTTTGGAACATACTACAGGCGGGATGCATGCATTTCGGAAAACAACTTCAGTAAATTTGGAAGGGAAGTTGTTTTCCATAAGATGAGTGAAAATATTTTACATAGGAAAATGTTTTCAGTAACTTTTGTGCAACCAAACACGGGAAATTAGGAAAATATTTTCCTGGAAAATATTTTCACCCGAAACAAACGGACCCGGAAAGTAAGATCTTTTCTTTTCTTTAACCACTCATTGAAAAGGTAACAACAAAAAGCTTAATAATCTCTTTCACAAGGATTCAACATTCTGAAACATCAACAATTTACAAAGGCATGAAAGAATTTCCCTATTTGCTTATTCTGTACTTGGTCTTGTAATTTTTTTTTACTTCAATTTCATCAAAAACTTCTTTTCTAATTGATTATTTAGTGAAATAAGGAGTTATTGCATGAAATTCGAAATTGTCTATGTTCAATTCGAGAGTGAGAGAGAGAGAGAACTAACATGTCAGTCAAAAGAAAGAAGGGTGCTCATCTTCCTTTCCACGTACCGAGCAATTGACTTATAGAACTCTCTCTCTTATCAACCCAAGTTAAGGATGAAAAGTACTCTTATAACAAAACACTATGAAATTGGACACTTATTAAAATATATTTCAAACAAAAAAAACACTCATTAAGATATATTTCAAGCAAAAAAAAAAAACACTGAATTGGGTGACCTCTTGCCTATTTTCCAAATTGGCAAAGGGTAGGTTGGGAGCTGGTTACAAGAGCTGATTTTTGAAAACAGAAAAGATGTATAAACATAAGAAAAGGTAATAATTATTAGACGTGTACATATTACATACAAGTTAGGTGGAATTTAGATTTGTAACAAATGCCCAATAGATTTAATATACCTATTAAAAAATCCTTAAACTATTTATCTCATATATTTTTTAATATACATAAAGCAAAGGATTTAATGGATCTAATTAACCTACAAATAAGTACATGATTAAAATGGAAGTTTCATGGAACATGATTAAGATTGAGTACTTTTGTCTTGAATCTAGGCTAAGATAATATTTCTGACGGTACGAGGGAAGCTAAGATAATATTACTGTTGGAAGTGTACGAGTGTGCATGTGTGCGCGGGGTGAGGAGAAGGGCTAATTTGAGGGTCTAGGCTTCAGACACCTTCTCATATATGTAACGAACATTGAAATACGGATGCCCTTAAATTCAGAATTGGAAACAGGGTGACATAAAACTTGTCCAACAAGAAAAATAGCGAAGAAAGCAAGAGAGTGAGATTAATCATCAGAAGAATATTGAGATTTAGTAAGAACGATGAAGAAATTTAGAATGTCACCTGGGTTTCGGTTCAGTCCATCTGATCAAGAATTGCTATACTACCTAAAGATGAAGGCTAAAGGGATGTCATTCCGGCCTTGGAATGATGTGGTTCTTGAAAAAAATCTATATGCCAAGAATGCTGCACCATGGATGCTGTTCAATAATGATGATCCATGGCAAGTAACAAGTAAAGTTGACGCTGCTCTTGGGAAGATTTATGAGGAAAAAGTCCTTTATGTTGTTACTAAATTAGTGAAAATTGGTAGCAACAAAATTGTGAGGAGTGTGGTTTCTGGGACCTGGGATAGTGCTACTGGGAAGTATAAAGTATGGAACAGTCAGGGGCAAGTTATGGGGTTCAAGAAGATATTGAATTTGAGGGGGAAAGGAACGGAAGTTATGAGCAATTGGATGATGCATGCGTACCACTTATCTACGGTTTCGTTGCAAGAAGTTGAGGATAATGACTATGTAATTTGTCGTATAAAGTGGGATTATTCAAGAAATATTTGGGATGTTGATCAAAAAGTTCAAGAAAGTGGTGGATTGAGGAAGCTGGGGAAGAGTAAAAGGATTAATCAAGAAATCCCAGATGGAAAAAAGGTTTGTAGGAAGGGAAGTAATAGTAGTGTATTGACCAATGATGGAGTTTTAATTGCAAAAAGCGAAGCCTATTATGGAGAAAATGATGAATATGAAATCTTGATTAAGGAAAAATCAAGATTTGATCAAGAAAGTTCAATTGGAGAAACGGTTTGTAGCAGTGGGAGGGATACTGTAGTGGTGAATGAAGGAGAGTTGATAACTGAAAGATCATTGTTTTTGGAAGCTGAAGTTCAAGAAACAGAAGCACATTATGAAAGAAGCGATGAATGTCAAATTCTTCTAAAGAGAAATCAGTATTTGATTAGGAAAGTCCAACTAGAAAAATGGTTTGTAAAGAGGGCAGCAATAGTATTCTGGTGATCGACGAGGGGAATGTGATGGAAGAAGTTTCATTGATTTTGGAAACTAAAGTTCTAGACAATAATGTTGAATTGGAAAGTTTGAGCATGGTGAGATCAAGATTTAATCAAGAAAGCTCAATTGAAATAGAGGTTTCTGATAGTAACAGTAGCAGTAGCACCAGTATCAACAGCAGTGGGGCAAATTTGGCTGATTTGGGCTGTTCCCATGTCACAAATTGAAACAGTGGTGTAGAATATGATATTATGCAATAGGTGCTAGAGGATAATTTCTATCTTGAGCTTACTTCAATTGAACTTGATTTTACTTCATTTGAATGTGTGTTTTAAGGACTAGGCATTAGAAGGTATTAAACTTGCCATTTAACCTATTTTGGTAATAGTTATTTGGTTGCTTTTTGCGTGAAGTACTTTGTTGTTCAGAACATTTATGCTTTAACAATCAGCATGTAGGAATGATTTGTTAGACATAAAGAGCATGATCTTTAGTATGATTTGTAAGTTAAAATTAAGAAATAAATTTTAGATTGACATACCTTTTGACACTGAAGACATTTTGGAGAAGAATTCCACAACTCTTTATCACTAAGGTTGTAAACTGTATCTTTATGCTATCTAACCTTCTCTCACCTAACTATCTGTTATGTTATTTTAGTGATGGATAAAAATAATGTATGTCAGAGTGATGAGAGGGAGCAGGAGCCCTAGAGCATTTATAGAGTCATAATCCCTCCCATCATGAGATAATGATAGACTCTAATATTCTTATCGTACTTTATTTGTTAACTATAATGATAATATATAGTTTAATAATTATTGCAACTATCAAATAAAATATTACAATAAATATCACATAATACATCCACATACAACGAATATGAGACTCCCTACTTCATCCAGTCATCTATTCTCATTAGAATTTTGTAATTATTTATTCATATTTATGCATACAGTTACTTATCCTTCTAATTAATGGGAGTTATCTTAATAATATTATATGTGATCATGTAGGCCACATAAATATTTTAACCTTCTCCCACTTGGGCAAATGACCACATAAATAATAACCGTACAGAATCAAATAAATAAAGTAGAGTGGCCATAACATTTAATTATGTTTATCCTACACCGACATTAGAATGAATCATGGTGGTTATATATCAATTTGAATATATTTCCTTCCATGTATCACAATTCTAATAACTTAATGTAGATAAACCTAATGAGGAAAAAATGGACAACTTTGATATCCATTTAATGGTCCAAATATTAATCCTGTGCATAATTACCATGATAACGTGCACAAACAACAGGATTTAATATTTTATACTTATATGTCTAAACATCAATAATGGCAAAACCACATTGAACTTATATGTTCGCAAAATCTTTTGGCACCAATATTTCATTAATGGGTATGCTCAAATGGACACCTTAAATTTGACATATTTTATAGAACAATGTAATATATAATTCACTTTAATGTGCTTAAATCTATTAAAGCACTTACTGTTCTATAAAGATACAATAGTGGAAAGTCTCAACAAAACATAATGGACTTAATTATCCACAAATAGTTAGAAATATAATAGCAACTATACAATAAATTAATGAGTTCTTTATGAGTCATGTGATCGTAACAACAACTTAGCCGGCATTCTTAAGTTGTAACATTAATGATCATAATTCAAATCTAACGAACTCAACGTCATTAATATTCTAACTTTATGTCAATTTACTCAATTCAACTCCCACTTTTCCTTATATACTTTAATAAACGTGTCAAAATTGAAAGGCCAATAGTACAAAATCGACAAAATATAGGCCGAACAACAAGTACCTAATTACAGTATTCCAACATCGATATAACCTGCAATTATTTCAAAGTATAATATACAATATTACAATTTTAGATTCTTAAAAAAAACTCTTTAGTGAAGGTTAGATGAGATAGTTCAAAACATTCATTTTCTATCTCTATTAATACCAAATACATGAAAAGGTATTACATATATCCTTCACTTAATAGTTTTAAATAAGAATTGCTTATTATCCAAAATATGAAAGAAATTATTATCTATATACAAACCATATACACGTTATTCCCACTACTCTTAATGTCTAATGATTTACTAATATCATTCTTCTTAAAACAATATGAAGAATATATTAGTAAAAATAAATCATTAATGGGATATTAATTTGGTTTAGATAAAGATTTACTATCACTTGTAATCAATAGGCCATACTCTCTTTTACACAAACATAAGGTAGACATTTATTATAGAGATATATAAATCACATCTACTTTAACGTAGCTCCAAACATAATAAACTACAAGTGTCACAGCCAATATCAGCAAAAACTCTTATTAACATTATAAGAGATTTACTATATTTGTACTCTTTTAAGTTGAATAAGTCAGCAACAAGTATATCATTTAACATTACCATTATATCTTAATGATCCTGATAGACTTTGCATTACTGGCAGTGTTAAACCTCATCTTCTATTGTAGCACCAAACTTAAATGTAGTTGTGAAAATAACTATATAACAATTAAGCCTAAAAACACACATAAACTCTTGAATTGATAAACATATATATTAGCAAGTTTACTTGAATTGAGAATTTCTTGACTCCCACTATTTCCTTAATAATTTGATTAGTGGGTTTATAATAGAATATTCTTTATATGATTTCTCAACTAGAGTCATGTTGAGACAATTGCTGAAATTTTAAATTTCTCTTAAAAAGCAATTAATCTTTATAACATAATGGTAATGTGCATGATTCACCTTACCTTTCAACTCCATTATTTGAGTCAAATCATTTATTCTATTTTCTCAAAATCAAGTATTTCTAATATAAAACACTTTTGCAACATATGGCAGTATAATCTATGAAAATAATTATCTTTTTAGTACATTTAGTTTCTTTAGGAATTGATTACATATTCCCACATAAGGTAAAACATCTATATGTTTTTTATTTTAGCTTCCTTAAGTGTTGATAATATATCCCCACGTAAGCTGAAATATCTATCGAATCCATGACATAAATGAAATTCTCAACAATAATAGATGGACATACTAAAAACATATACAATGATATTTTCAAAATTTCACTGTACAAGAGTAAAGAAAAATTCAAACTACTATTTTTTATGTCCAAAAGTGTTCATTTCTTGATAGGAACACATAACTCAAATTTTGTCAATTAAAAATTGTATATTCTTTATCAATGCCATCTATCAAGAATTATACACATAGGACATTCAAATTATCCCATTATAACTTTATTTTCTGTCTTTTATACGTTTATATCTTTATCTCTTATACAAATATTTTTGAATACAAGAACAAAGACATTAAGTTTGAATGATTATCAGAAATAAGATAAATAAATATCTTTAACCACTTCAACTTGGCAGAAAATAATTCACAAATCGCGTATTATGACTACTAATAGAGTAAATTCTTTTCGCCATCCATAACAATCTAACCAGACTACTTTCTGTAATGTAGTCTAAACATATGCCATGATAAAATTTAAAATCATTGAGTCTTTTATTTTGTCTAAATACATTTATGGAGACATATTCCAATCTCCTATGGCAAACTTAATAAGTTTTCATGAATAACACACTTAATGCCAACATTGTTACATAAGACAAATGGAGTTTTGTTCATTTGAAAATTTAGAAATATAAATTTATTATTTTAAAACTCTGATTGAATAATCAATATTAAAATTGTATTCAATAGTTTAAAATAAGCGAATTCTAGATTGCGACAAAATATATTTTGAAAGAAACTTTCTATTATGGGTAAAAACACTTCACTTGTATATTCATAAAGGCATCATTTTGTATAATAGATGCTTTGCCTTAATCAAATATGTTTCTTTTCTCATTTGAAACTAAACATACATTGACAATATGAATTGTGTGACGTAAGACAATTAATCTAGAGTCATTCATAGTCATAAAAATGAGGCAGTCCATTAAATTCTCTCAAAATAATTACCAATCATAAAGACAAATCTTTCAATGTTTTCCTGACTAGATAAGGACAACATATATTTATTTTAATATATATTTTCATCCTTTATGAAAACATTATTGTCTCTATTTGCATTTCTATATTTATGAGATACAATATTAACTTTAAGTGTTTTGTCTTTCAAATTTAAACTACTCTTATTCTTTCACATATACATGGTTAAGTGTGAGCAATAGCCATATTCTTTAATGTGTATTATAAAAGATTTTTGAATAGTTCAAAGTTTCAAAAGAGAATTTAAAACGAAATGCTCAAGAAATTATCAAAAATTCAAGCTCGAGATTTACCATAAATAAAACAGCAGCTTGCACATTAAATTCAGTAATTAATTCACACAATTTCATAGTCAAGATAAAGGGTGTTTAGTCAAAATTATACTATAATTCCACAATCACCTTTATGGAAATTTTGACTTTAATTACTTTAAGGGTAATAACCATACATCTTTATGTGAATACAATATTTAATGAGCATATTAATTGCTCTAACTACTTGTATCCAACCATTATATTAGCACATACACATTAAAGTGAGATTCACACTCACGTGTGCTAATTTAATTTTGCACCCAAAATCAAGAGAGCAGATTAATATGGCTAGCATAAGGGAATAGTTACAAATTATTGGAATATAATACAAGTTAAAAACAAGACTACTTGTATAAGGCATAAGGATGCTATTTTGTCGTACTATAATTTTAATTAAAATAGTAAATCTAAATTCATGAGCTAAAACAATAAACTAAAGAAATAGTCCTTGCCTTTGGGCATCGAAAGGTTTCCTAATTTAATGTTTAGCAAACCAACTCGTTTAACAGATTTACTAAATAATTGAACAATAGGCGAGCAATCCATTGGATCATCATATCCTACCTTTGGGTTGAGTAACGACACGCCGGTGATTCACTCCATAAGTGAGAAACAATTGGGCAATTTTA